GAAAAAAGTCAATTTCTTGGTCAGGCTTCGGTCGTTGACGAAATCTGACTCAGGAAGGAGAGGCGTTTGACTTTCTTCTTTAATTTTTTTTTTCTGTTTTCTATTTTGTTTTATGTTCTAAACGAAAGGCCTAAAGGGAGGGGATGTAGGTTTTTCTTTTTTCCTTATTATCATCTTTGTGTATATTTAATCAAATACTCGGCTTTTTATTTTTTTGTCAAAAAAAAATTCGAATACTTGGTTTTTTTTTGTCGCTATAATTTACTTTAGGGACAACAATAAAATACCAAAGAACTCGAGAAAATTAATATCTAAGGTTTAGTTTCATAAGTGGGATCCGAGAGCTTATCTAAGGAAGCACAAATACATACAAAATACAATAAGAATAAATCAAATTTAATCCTTAACTTTGTCGAGGAATATTTTTTACTATAAATTTTTAAATTCATTAAATCATGTAGGTAAGTGTTGCAATATTCACTTTAAACTTTAAAAGTGTAATAATTTTTATCCTATAATAAATTTCGTTTCAAATTTTGTTCAAAAATATTATCAAATGAATTATAAAACATGTATTTGACACAAAATTGATAAGACTCGTAAGAAACGACAATTGAGCTGTTTTTCTTTTATTAAAAAAATTGTAAGTTTTGGTAGTTATTTTATTGTCAAGTTTGTCCGTTAATAAAATTTAATTTGTGCAAAACTTAATTTTTTTTTATTAAATTTGTGAGTTTTTAGAAGTTTTTACATTAATTTTTAAAATTGAATAGAAAGTAACTTATCTAAATTTATGAGATTCGAAATTGAAAGTTTAGACTAAAAATTAATAAAACTTACCAAGTTTAAGAGTGAAAAATGATTTTTTTTCTAATATAATTTTAGATGCATTTATCCTTTTTGCAATTTCTTTGGATGATTTTCACTTTTTTCCCCTCACATTTTAGTTTAAATTTTGAAAACTCATCTCTTGTTTTTTGAAATATTTGAAAAAATTATAGGACCAATCAAACTGAGTCGCATGGTGATTTTCAACCCATTTTATAATTTAAAATTAAACAAAGCCATTCCTTTTCTCTTTCAACACGAATCCTAAAACACTTTCCGCTACCTCTCTACTTTCTCATTCTCTCTCACTTAAATATTTCTATCTTCCACCAAACATCAGATAAAAAATGAATAAATGAGAAGGTTCACGAAATGGGAAAAAATGAGAAAAGAATAAGAGGTAATCTTATTTGAGAGATGGGTCAAAATTCTAACTTTTCTAGAAGGTTTATTTAAAACCTAACAAGTGTTCTATTCCCTCTCCATTCCTCTGTCAGACAATATAACGATATGTTAAAAATTTATGGACGGAAATGAAATAAACGATTTAAACCTAGAATTTATTTAGGAAGATGCTTTTAATCCTTTTGGCCACAAATATGAAGCGAAGCAGCGCACCAAGTGCGGAAAGGGGCGGACGCGGTTGCATGTGGGCGTGCGTTCGAATATATTCAGTGCCGCACGACACGCCCAACGCCCCCCTCGCCCTTCTCTCACACCTTTTTACAAACAGGTGGTGTGCAACTATTCATTTCCTTGGTTTAATTTTTTACAATTTATTCTCTCATTTCTTTTCACTACTTAAAGTATTGTTCTTAAAGAATGGCTTTCATGTATGATAAATTCTATAATATAATATTCTATCATCCGAAAATCGAGTAAATCAATCGAATTGAAAGTAGAGAAGAAAGAAATAAGTTGTATTTTAGAGAATCTAGATATTTGTACAAGAATTTTAGATCTAATTAAAATTTAATACACAAGTTTTAACACCTCCTCAATCAACAAAAACAAATGCGGTTTACTCTTAATTGGGTAAAAGAAAAACTTCTCTAATTTACTTACTCTTTAAAAAAAAAAAAATCTTCAAACATAACTCTTTTAAAAGTTAAAACTCATAATAAATGATAGTAAATATGAAAATGTAACATCATATTCTCAATAATAATAAAAATAAATTAATGAATAAATAAATAATAGAATGAAAATCAATTTTATTTAGTACCAAAATCATCTCTTTCTATTTGTTTATTATCATTATCAAAATTCCAATAATAACATTCTTAGCTGGGTGAGCTTTACATTTTATCCAACTAATTTCATTTATCTCATTTTCTTTCCATTATTTTTTAGTCTCACGTCAAATATTAATGTCAATTTAAGTATAACTTAATTAAAATATAAATAACTTCAAATCCTTACCTTCGCATCAAAGAAAAAAAATACATTAATAATAATCTTCTTTATTCCAATTCCAAAGCAGTTTTAGAAATCTTATTCTCATTTCACAAAGTTTTCTCTTTAATTGATGTTTATTTTGACTTTCCATTTCTCCCACCTCAAAATGGAGTAAATCAATCCATAATATTTAATTACAATTCCTAACTTCTGATTTTGTCTATTTTCTGTCTGCACGCTATTTATAATAATATTTTGGGATTAAGTTAAAACTGACGCAAATCACCAAAATTTGACTTTTTTACAAAAAAAAAAAAAGAAAGAAAGAAAAAAGAAAAAAAACTGTAAATATCTCAATATATTTAAATGCCACCAGATATTTCAAAGCCACGTGAGCCACATCTATTGATTTTTATTTGCTTTAAAATAATTCTTTTCTAATTTTGTTGAATTATTAAAAAGAAAAAGAATAATATATTAATAAATGCAGCGGAATTTTCGTTTTATCACATGTGGTCCCCTCCCCGTAAATATAAAAACCCCAACAAACCGATTTCAAAGTTATATCGCAACTGAGTCACCGAGTCACCACCACACAAAAACTGTAGAGAGAGAAAATGGCAGTGGTCATAATCGACGGATCGACGGTGAAGAACTTCGTGGACGACGAATCTCACTTCCAGAAGAGTGTGGACAGCGCCTTCGCGGCTCTGGATCTGAACAAGGACGGCGTTCTGTCCCGATCGGAGCTCCGGAAGGCGTTCGAAACGCTCCGCCTGATCGAGACTCACTACGGCGTCGACGTCGCCACCACGCCGGAGCAACTCACTCAGCTCTACGATTCCATCTTCGAGAAGTTCGATTGCGACAAAAGCGGCACCGTCGATGCGGATGAGTTCCGCACCGAGATGAAGAACATCTTGCTCGCCATAGCCGACGGATTGGGCTCCTCGCCGATTCAGATGGCGCTCGACGACGGCGATCAGAGTTTCCTCAAGCAAGCTGCGGATCTCGAGGTTTCCAAGCTCGCTCAAGCTTCTACCTGATCGCGATTTACCGGTTTGCCCCTTACCGTTTCCTTTAATTTTTGGCTCCTTCTTTTAGTATTCTGTAACCGATATGATATATATATGAATCTGATTTCGCAATAAAATAGATCCTGGTTCGCTATTTCATTTGAAAAGAACAAAGCGCAGATTTAGATTTTTACTGTAGAGAGCTGAACAATGGAGAAAATAAATGTTTTCTGAAGTTTTTGTTCTCCTCTTTTTCTTTGTTTCGGCAATTTATTCAAGAATTTGCCAGAGTTTTTTTTTTTTTTTTTTCATCAATTGAAACCGCGGCATGAGCGATGGAAACAACGTTCTTCAGACACTGATTTTGGATAAATTACTAATTAAGGCTTGATTTAGGATGAAAGTGAACTTTTGTTTGGTTCAATTAGTCAGGTAACCCTCAAGCACGGGTGAAAATTATTTTATATGAACAGTGCATTTATCAAATTAAAGGGACCGTTGAATTAATGAAACGATCTATTTCTAATGTGAGTAATTTGATTTTTAGACTTTTTTTTTTCTTCATGTTGAAAAGACAATGGTGAAACTTTATGACAAAGCTACAAGAGAGGCCAAGCCAACAAGTCTGAGCAAAGCATGAGCTCTTTAATATCATAAAAAATGGATTCGAAGAATACTAGCCATCTACCCACCAAGGGTTCCATTAAATTTTTAAATCGGGAAGAATACGCCACATCAAAAAGTCCAATTATGTAAGTCGATAAGAACAGCTACTAATCCATGTTTAGGCAAATATTTTGTCCTCGTTAAAGGAAGTTTTTTTGCCACTAAAAACCGTTTGGTCGGTTCAAGGTTTCAAAAAGTAACGTAGGACTCAGATACCTACGAATCAAGATGTATTTTGTTGTAGATATGTTTGAGATTAAGATGTCTGAGTTTAAGGGGTCTGAAAATAAATTATATATATATATATATATATTTATTTTGTGTGATTACTTTGTAAGTATGAATTTTATCTCATTGTAAACATTGATTAATCACTAATCAAATTTTATTTAAAAAATAAATAATATAAATTAAATTGTTTTAAGTTATAAATTATTTTATATTCGCATTCCAAATCTTAAATTGACAATTTAACTATATTGAAAATTTAGCACAATGATCCATTGAATAATTAATAGTAAATGTTATTTTACTAAAATTAAATATATACATATTTAGCAAAATGATATATTTGTATAAAGCTTTAAAATAATCAAAATTAACTTCCAATAATTAATTTATCTTTATTAAGTTAAAATATTAAAATTATTTTAAACAATGTTGTTGATTTTATTTAAATAAAACATGGGGTGAGGACCGAACTCACAACCTTTTTGTTGGAGATATATACAAATTATCGTTGAACTACGCTCGCTTTGACGGAAATAAAAGATGTGTTATTGTGTAACAAATAAATACTTTACTTACCATATTCATTCCCCGCTAAGTAAAACTCCCAACCAAACGACCTCTAAATAGTTATACAAATTTTGAAGGAGTTTGATAAAAAATATACGCACAAAAAGGACGTATCATACCCGATTTTGGAGACGACTCGATTTAATGTTTGATTTGGTTTACAAATGTTAAGCCATTAAAATTTAATTTTTTAGTATGTTTTACGATTTAAATTTATTTTTAAAAATACTTTTGGATCTATAAATTTATCTTCACAATTATGTAACTTTCAAGCTTATATTAAGAAATTGATAACCATATGAAAGAAAATTTATTTGGTTAAAAAGTATATCTATTTATGTGCTTTATAAACCATGGTAAGTAATATCTTCCCTGATTGAAAATTTGTTCCAACTTTAAATGTTAAGAAGTTATTAATTAATAATTAAGTATACATGTCGTTTGGAGTTCAAAATTGTTTTAATTTCTAAGAAAGTGGAAAATAATTTTTAATATCAATAAAAGAGATTTCATATAAATTTAGAAATTAATATGAAAACTTTAAAATAGAAGACGGAGAAAAAGAGTTGCAATATTATTAATTTATTACAGATTAAAAAATAAAAAATTAATTAAAAACGTCACCTGAGAGATTCGAACTCTCGCGGGGAAACCCCATGTACTTAGCAGGCACACGCCTTAACCACTCGGCCAAAGCGACTTTTGATGGTCAGATTACATTTTATTTATTCCTTATTTATACCCGACGGCGGCAAAAGGACAGCGTATCTGTGTGTCGAAAGAACTCGTGAAGAATTTCAGAGAGAAATACTTCCGTAATTTGATCGGTAGAAATTCTCCGGTTGTATGCTTGGACTATCTCCGAAATGCATAACCCATGCTGAGGTGGCACTACGTATAATTTTTAGAGGCCATCAAGATCAATTTGTTAAGGATCTTGTAAAAAAAATCAACTTAACAAAGATAAAGATTCATAAATATATACGTGCTATTCATTTTTTTGTTAATTGATTTTGAGACGAAACTCTATTAAGATATCTTTTTTATTTTCATTAAGTTACTCTCTATTCAACCGACTCGATCCAAAGAAGTAAACTCTTCGACCTCAAGTACTATTTGGGTCAAGACTAAACTCCTGACACAATTCATTGGTTAAAGTTGGATCGGACTTTGCATTGACCCATATAGTAGATTATTTTTAAAATATTTTTTCAAACCAAGTTTTTTTACTTTAGTTTGAGTTTTTATTTGATTCTTTTGTAAAATTTTTATTATATATATTTGATTATATTGGATCGTGCTTTTAGGTCGGTGGTTAACCCTCCATAAGAATGTCATTTTGGTTTTATTATAGAAGGATTTATTGTGCTTTTGAGGACCCTAGCTCGATTTTGCATGTGTATTTAATGTTTAATTATTGTAATCATGGGAATTAGCCTTCATGTAAGTGTGGTTTATGGAAATTATACAAAAATTCATTTATTTTAAGCAATTTGAGCCAGGTAAGCATTGGTAGAGCATGAAGGACTTTGTTTTGTTGTTTAACGCCCCTACAATGCTGGAGCATCGATTACGCAGAATCATGATAGTGACTTATTTTAAGCTCAATTTTTATTGATGAGCAATATAAAACAATTTTTGTTTTTGTAAAAAATATAAACACTTAATGTTACTAAAGTTATCTGAATGAAAATAAAAATTAGATATATAACAATTACTAAAATGCCACATTCTTATTTCTTACCAATTATAAATATATTAATTAAAAAGAGTGCAAATATTATTTTTTAAAAATAAAATAATAATAAATTTTAATTTATTAATTTATTAATTTATTGATAGTATTTTTTTTATAATAATAATTTAATTGATATTAACAAATAATAAAAAAATTAAAATTAAATTGATAAAGTAAAAAAGTTATAAACTTTTATTAGAATAACCATTATTAATATAAAAATTATGTCAAACTGAGCATAGTTCAACTAATTAAGAAAATTTATATCCGATCAAGAGATAGTGAGTTTGAATTTCCATCCCCACAAATTCTACTAAAAAATATATAAATATTAACTTTTCTTACTATAATACTTAATGATAACGAATTCTATTTTAACAACTTTTTATATTAATTAATAATAACATAAAGTAAAATTAAATCATTGATAAATCAAATAGAAATTTATAATATCTTATAATAAAATCCCATCAACTAATTGATTTTTATTCAATTTTTTTGTTGGTTGAACAAATGTGGAGATGAAAAATTCAACCTCGAACCTAAACTCTAGTGAAAGATTAAAATGTGTAACTTGGGAGATCCACGTAATAGGAATGAGAATAATTGATGAAATTGTAAGAGATAGATGAGACTGCACCTTTTCAAGAAAAATGATTCCCAAATTTGAGATAGGTCCTACTAAACGCCATCAAAGTTTTTATTTCCATTCTCTCTGAAGTAAACGAGACTTAAGTAGAAGCATTAATATTCAAAATGCAAAAAATAATGATAAAATAGCAAAAAAAAAAGGAAATAAATAATAAATATTATTTATTTATTTACTTTAAAAAACGCAATCGAGGCGTCTGCTTAAAGTCTCATTTTTCCCGCACCATTAACATTTATTTAACACACCGTAGAATCCTCGCGTCGTCGTCTTCGTGGCTCATTTCTGAACTTCATGAGCGCTGAGCTTCGACGCTCACTGCCAATCCTCAGCTGCTGTCGCATAAATCCATGGATCATCACTCATTGCATCCACTTCAGCCAAAATGTCACCCAACTTAAACGAACCCACGTCCTTCTCATCAAATCTCCTCCCCAACCCCATCTTCTCCGCCGTCTCTTTCCCAAGTTACTCACCCGGCTGCAACAGTTTCCGGCTGACAATCTCTTTTA